CTCTCTCTCTCTCTCTCTCTCTCTCTCTCTCTCTCTCTCTCTCTCTCTCTCTCTCTCTCTCTCTTGTAACTAGATTACTATTTGCACCTAATAGTTTTGCTATAATTTTTGTTGCTGTTATTATTGTTATTATTATTATTATTATTATGATGATGATGATAGTTATTATTGTTGTTGTTGTTATTATTGTTGTTGTTGTTATTATTATTATTATTATTATTATTATTATTATTATTATTGTAATTATTATTATTATTATTGCTATTTTTATAATAATTATTATTATTATTATCATCATCATTATCATTATTGTTGTTGTTATTATTGTGATTATTATTATTGCTATTGCTATTATCAACTGTTTGTTATTATTGATGGTGTTGCTATTATTGCTGTATTTATTGTTCTCATTATTATTATTATTATTATTATTATTATTATTATTATTATTATCATTATCATTAATATTATTACTGTTGTTGATATTATTATTATTATTATTATTATTATTATTATTATTATTATTATTATATAAAAATGATAATCATAATTTTATATTATGTGATTATAGTGACAATGATGATTATACTTATGATTATGATTAAGATTATATTGTAGTTATTATTTCCATTATAATTAGCATTATTATTATTATTATTATTATTATTATTATTGTTATTGTTATCATTATCAATATTGTTTTTATTATTGGTATTATTATTGTTGTTGTTGTTGTTGTTATTATTATTGTTATAATTGGTTTTATTATTATTGTTTTTGTTATTATTATAATAGTTATCATCATTGTTATATTTTATTAATTATATTTTATTATTTTGTTATTTTATTATTATTATGATGATGATGATTTTATTATTAATTTTATTATATCATTATTATTATTATTATTATTATTGTTATTATTTATTTATTATTATATTAATTATTATTATGTTATTATTATATGTTAATATTGATGATACTATTATTATTGTTATTATTGTATTATTATTGTTATTTTTTTTTGATTGTTATTGTTAATTTTATTTTTAGTGTTATTATTATTATTATTATTATTATTATTATATTATTATCATTATTATTATCATTCTTCTTATTATTATTAATATTATTGTTATTATTATTATTATTATTATGATTATGATTATGATTATAATGATTATTGTTGTTATCGGTATTGTTATTATTATTATCATTATTATTATTATTATTATTATTATTATTATTATTATTATATTATTATTATTGTTGATATTGTTATTATTATTATTGTTGATATTATTATTATGATTAGTAGTAGTAGTAGTAGTAGTAGTACTTTTATTAGCATTATCATTAGCATTAGGGATAACATTAACATTAAGATGATTATCAATACCATTGTCATTATCATTATCATCATCATTATTATTATATGATGATGATGATGATGATGATTATTATTATTATTGTTATTGATTTTATTATTGTTATTATTATTATTATTATTATTATTATTATTATTATTATTATTATTATTGTTGTGATTATTATTATTATTATCATCATTATTATTGTTGTTGTTATTATTATTATTATTATTAGTAGTAGTAGTAGTAGTAGTAATTATTATATTATTATTATTATTATTATTATTATTATATTATATTATTATTATTATTACATTATTGTTATTTTTTATTATCATTATCATAATGATAATAGTGATAATGATGATAATTATTAATTATTATTAAAATTATTATTATTATTATTGTCATAACTTTTGTTATTTTTGATCTGGTTATTGTTATTTTTGATAATTATTGATGTTGTCATTGTTGTCTTTATCATCGTTGTTATTGTTATTGTCAATGTCTTTCTCACCTATAATTATTTTTTTTCTAAATTTTGACTATCATTATGACTGTTTTTGTTATTGTAATTGTTATTGTTACAATTATGATTATTATCTTCATTATTGTTAATATTGTTTTGATATATTATTATTGTTATTATATTATTATTCATATTATCATGATTATTATTGTTATTATTATTATTATTGTTATTATTGTTATTATTATTATATTATTGTTATTAATATTATCATTAAAATTATTATCATCAATCATCATTTTATTATTTATTAATATCATTAATTATTACGGTTATTATTATTTTATTATTATTTGTTGTTATTATTATTATCATTATTATTATTTTATGTTATTAATGTTATTATTAGTGTTATTCATATTAAATTGTTTGTTATTGATTATTTATATTACTATTATTATTAGTAATGTCAATATCAATATTGATATTGATATTGAATTTGATATGAATGAAATTATTATTATTGTTTTCGTTATTATTTTTGTTTTTTCTGTTGTTGTTGTTATGATTAATATTACTGTGCTATGTGGTGCGGTAATAGTGTACTCATCTATCAATCTTGCTGACCAGTGTTCAATCCTGCTTGGTGCGAGTGGATGGTAACCGCAGCCCAGCGCACGGGGTTCTTTAGAAGTAAATAAACAGCCAGCATGTCCGTTGTAACAAAGGGAAGCAAAGATTGATTATTATTATTTTTGATTATAATGGTCTGTTTGTATTATTATATAATATCCATTTTGTTGTTGTGTTGTTGTTGTTATATTATTATTATATTATATTATTATTATTATTATTATTAATTATTAATTATTATTATTATTATGATTATGATTAAAATTATTATTATCATCATCATCATCATCATCATGATTGTCATCATCATTATTATTTCCTTTAGTATTATCATCATTATAATGATGATGATGATGTTATTTTTTTGTTTTCATTATTGTTATTGTTATTATTATTTTATTATTATTTTTATTATTATTATTATTATCATGATTATGATTATCATCATCACTCGCACTATCTCTATTACTATTATTATTGTTATTATTATCATTGTTGTTGTTATTATTATTATTATTATTGTTATTATTATTGTTATTATTCTGTTATTTCTATGTGCATCATTATTTTTATTGTTATTATTGTTTTTTGTTGTTGTTGTTGATGTTATTTTATTTGTTGTTATTTTTTGATTATTATTATTATTATTATTATTATTAATTTTATTATTTATTATTATTTTATTATTGTTATTATTGTTATAATTGATATTATAGTTATTATTGTTGCTGTTATTATTATCATTGTTATAATTAGGAGTATTACTGTTATTATTATTATTGTTATTGTTATTGTTATTAGTGATATTATTATTATTATTATTATTATTATTATATCATTATCAACAATATTATTATTAGTATTATTGATATTACTTTTAATATCATTATCATTGTCACTTTCACTGTAATGATTATTGTCATTATTAATGTTATTGTGTTTGTTATGATTATTTTGTTATTATTAATCCCTTTCTGCTAGATGGTATGTATGTACATGCCATAGCTGTTGTGGACAAAGTAGCATGTGGTATCATATCACAACCACTCCCACTCTGCCAGCTCATTTTTTGTTTTTCTCTGATAACGGCATCATCTCTCTGGTAAAACTTTAAGGCAATAGCATCTAAAGTGAAGGTTAACCTTTAAAAAGTTTTTATTGAATTAGAAATTATATTAAAATGCAAACTTTTAGGTGCCTAATGTTGCCCGCAAACTACTGAACAAGTCTGGCGCAACTCAATATCACTCACAGTCCATACCATTTCAACCCTATAGTCTGTAAGATCCAACCACTAACCCCACGTGTCAAACATTCCAGCCACCATTTACCATCCCCCACTTCAAAACTTTCCTCTATAACCATTGGCAATCTTTCTGGTCAGGCCTGACCACCAATAACCTGCAGACCATAAATACTTCTATCTTTCTTCTGTTGATTTTATGAATAATAACAACATTGATATTAATGCTGCTTCTATTCCTCTTGGCCAAGGGATGCATCTACAGTATGGCATCCTAGCACAAAGGCTTTATAGTTTTTGTTAATGCATTTGTTATTCTTGTTGTTTTGATCATAACATTTGTTTATTATTGTTATTGTGATTTTATTATATTATTATCATTATATTTTATTATTTATTGTTGTTATTATTGTTGGTTTAAATTATTATTATTATAATTATGATTATGATTATAATTTTGATGATAATATTAATAATAATAGAATTGATTATTATCATCATCATTATTATCATTATTATTGTTATTGTTATTATTGTTATTATTATTATTATTACTATTATCATCATCATTATTATTATCTTATCATTCTTCTTATTATTATTGTTATTATTAATATTATTATCTTTATCATTATTATTATTACTATTATCATTATTGTTATTATTATCTTTATCATTTTTATTGTTATTATTAGTAGTAGTGATTTTTAAAATTATTATTAGTGTTATTATTATTATTATTATTATTATTATTATTATTATTATTATTATTGTTAATGTTATGATTATAAATATAATCATCATTATCATTGTCATTATAATGATAATAATGGTGATAGTAATGATCATGATCATGATCATGATGATAATAAAAGTAATGATAATAATGATAAAGATAATAAAAATAATGAAAATAATAATGATGAAGACAATGACAATGATGATAATAATGACAATAATAGTAATAATAATATATAATAATGATAATAATAATAATAATGATAATAAGTATAAGTATAATGTGAACAAGAATGATATGATAGTAATGATTTTTTTTCTTCCCCCCCCCCCCCCTCTCTCTAACATCATTATCATCTTATTTCTATTTTTCACGTATGATCATTTGGGAACCAGTGTACTATTGTATTGTTATTTATTTCCTGGAAGACAATATATTTAACTTGTACAGTACAGCATGATATTATTTATTGAGTTAAAGTGATTTTCCTCGCTTTACAATTAAACCTTATTCACAGGTGCTGGCAGTGCTCCCTAGCAGCCAAAGATGATGCACTTGAATATGTGGAGAGCCTCATACTCTGCTGGCCATGTTGTGTGCTCGCCCAGCCCTCACACCGTCCAGGTGAGTATGTCTGTGCTCTTAGGAACGGGTGAGCGCTTTGTTTGAGACGTGTTTTGATGGCTGTCATTGGAAAAGATGTGGAGACAGATACTTTCACTGGACACGTACGTAAATCAGGGTATGACGTTAAATCTACCAGCTCAAGTCCACGTTGACACATAAATTTGTTCTCAATTAATTTGTATTGGTATGACATTAATTTATCTATATGTTGAATCTAGATATTTTTATTGGGTAGCTAGGATGATGTAATGCTTCCTACTGGTGCTTAGCATATAACCCAGTGGATACCAGGGACCTGAATGTTATGTCATGTGAAAATATACAGAGGGCCATTGTGATGCGAATGTGCGGTCATGAAAATTGCCCAAATATCTTTGAGGACTCAGTGGGCATTAAACCCATGGGGTCCAGATGCTTCACTGCCATCATATGGCAAAATATGGGCATTAAGCTTCATTGAGTGGCCAATCTGTCGGTGTGAGCTCGGCGTACATGAGCACTTGTGTGCAGTGACAGGACTCCATGCTTTCCCTTTGTAACGTAATCTTCTCAATTTTGGCATAAGGGTTTTTATTTTTTTTTTTGCCATTTCCCAATGTCTATATTTTGTGGCCGCACGGCAAGCCAAGTAAGATTTTTCATGCCTTCGCCACCGGGTTAGACTTTGCGCATAGCAAAGATTTTATGTTTTTTTATATAATAATGTTGCTACATTATACTAAATATAAACAACTTAAGTATATAAAGGCTAAAAATACCTTTGTAATCTTGTGTGATATAGGTCTATAATAAATCAGTTTTTGTTATTGCATCAAGAAAAGAAATGAGATACAGACAGTGGAGATTTTATATTTCAAAATATCAAAATTTTTCTAAAGGGTCATTTCCACTGAATAAAATAACAATTCATTGTTCCACAGTAACTAAGATCATCTTGGTACTCTGTTTCTCATTATCTCAGCACACATACACATGTACATGTATGTACACGTTTACACAAGTACACATATTTAAGCATACATGTACATATTTACATATATACATGTACACACATTTACATGTGAACATATGTGTACACATATATATGCAATTTTACATGTACACCTACATAGACATGTTTGCAAAGGTAAGCTCATGTAGATGCTAGAAAACATTAATAGAAGGGGTCTGAGGCAAGCAATATGTCATGTTGCCGAGATTCGTGTGTACAGAGATACCATTTTAGTTTAGGTTGTAACTCGGGAACTAGTCAAGACTTGTTCATGCAACAAACAGCATTTGAAAGAGAATTATGTGTAGTTTTAGAGTTAATTAGATGGTAAATTTTCTGTGAAGGAAAGATTCAGAAAATTAACCGAAATATTCACAATTTTTCCTCAAACTGAAATTTTCAAGAATTGACCACTGCCTATTACTCATAATAACCTTGTTTCTGCATGGGGTCTGTAGGGGTTACTTTACTAAATTTGTTATAACTTGGAAACCATATCTTCATATCTTAATGTAACAAGCAGCATTTCAAAGTGAAAAGAATGTAGTTTCTCTGGTAGTTAGATAATAAAGACTGATTGAAGTAAATTAAATGGAAAGTAACTGGAACATCTCCAATCTTTTCTTTGTAAAAAAAAAATAATTATAATAATAAATAAATAAATTTAAGAATGATTTTTTTTTTTTTTTCCCTTTCCTCTCCTTTCTTTCTTTGTTTTATTTTGAATATCTGAGAAAAGGAAATTGTATTTATTTGATTATTTATTTTTTTCTATTTATTTTTTTATTTATTATTATTTTTATTTTTTATTTTTTTTAGGAAACTAAGGCAAATTTTCAAATAAAACTGTCCGTTAGTATCCTTCAATTTTATTTATAGTCATGCTGATTGTTTTCATTGTAAAGTATGCAACAGTGTGGGCCAATAGGAGTACACAAGTGACATGTGGAAAAAAACGGAGGGAAAAGTTTTTTTGAGGGGGCTTCACTCCCTTTGGGAAAGTTTTACAAATTTAGGACGAAAAGGTGCAGAATGATAAAATACACAATATATCCAGATTTTTCATTATTATTATTATTAGTAGTAGTAGTAGTAGTATTACTAGTATTATTATTTTTTTTTTTATCCCTCCTCACCCCCACATTCCCCTATTACTCCACTAAGCCTATTTTTGTAGTCAGTTCCCTTAATTCTAATCACCCTCCAAGATCTTTGTACACTCATGGAAAGCCATTGGAGAGTCATTCACGTTAACCAAACCCTACAGCCAAAATTCTCATGACAGCAAATTCACGTCACCCTGTCCTTGCCAAATTTTCCCAAAAAGGCATGTTCACATCACCCATTCAAACCATTTTGTGTGTTTGTGTGTGTGTGTGTGTGTGTGTGTGTGTGTGTGTGTGTGTGTGTGTGTGTGTGTGTGTGTGTGACGTGATAGTCATGTCATCTGGATTGTAGGGGTTAAGGAAAAGGTTCTTGTATTATTCCCACCAGTAAACCAGTAAAAGATCTTCAAACCATGGCTTGAATAGGGCTGTTCCCAGGAAGGATACTATATCCTTGTTCAGGATATTATTCCTGCTCGCTATGACCATCAGCACAGGGTTTATTTTGAGATAATAGAAAGCAAAGTTATTCAAGCAAAATTAAAAAAATTATATGCTTGTCAGTCAAGACTTTGACCTAAGCACCTAAGCACTGTATTCAGCCATCTCTTTAAGTCTTAGTTGATAAATGCATAATTGATAAACTAATTTTCAGTGTTTCTGTTTACTAAAAGCCATTAAAATCCAAGAACAAGTTATCTCATCCATGTAGAACAAGTTAACCCCCATGTCGTCAGGAAATTGTAGCGTTCACTGTCGAATAGTTTTTTTGTGAAATGTCTCTACACATCGCTGGCTCCTTTCATTGAATTTTCTGGAAAACTAGGTTTTTACCAATACTATCAATATTATTATATTATTATATTATTATTATTATTATAGACATTATAATTATTATACTGTTCTTGACACTACTAACCATTATTTAAGATTGGTGACTCAGTATTTGTAGAGCCATCTATGTGTAAAGGCAATTAACCCAATGTTGCCACGTGGCATGTATGTACATGCCATGGTTGTTGTGGACAAAGTAGCGGGTGGCATCATACCGCAACCATTCCTGTGCCGTAGGCTCTACGGACAGAGCTTGTTTTTCTCTGATAGTAGTGGCATCATTTCTATGGATAAACTTTTAGGCAATAGTAACTAGAGTGAGGATGACCTTCAAATATTTTGTATTTTTAAAAATTATATCAAAATATTAGCTTTTAGGTGCCAAATGTTGCCTGCAAACTACTGAACAAGCCAAGTGCAAACTTGGGAAACTGTTGATGTGTGGTAACAACCTCACAATCATATCATCTGGTCAAATTTTTTTCCCACCATTATTGGGATAATAAACTAAACTCACAGTGGGCATGACATATACATACATGCCATCCCTGGTAACAATGGGTTAATTTGTTGTGACTGTCAGCAGGTTAAGATGCAGTTTGAAGATTCTGGTATAGATAAATTTCAGAAAAATATGATGAAGCCTTCATTTGAGAAGACATTAGATATGTATGAAAGCAGATGTAAGATCTTTGTATATTTATGTATTTTTAAATTATTTTTTATTTTACAGGATGTGGAGGAAAGGGTACAGAGAACGTTTCCCAACCCGATTGACCGCTGGGCAATTGGAGATGCTCAAGCAGCCATTGAAAAGGGTCGTAAGAAGTCCCCGTTGGTGTTACCAGCAGAAAAAGCACATCCACTTTTACGGGTAAGTTAGCCTATTTCATTTTCAAGATCAGGATATTCATGTGTGCGTGGGTGTGTGAACCTTTTTTTGTTTTATTTTTATTGATTTATTTATTTTTAGATAGGTATTTGATGGTGAATTGTCCTAATCATGAAAGGGAGATGGATTGTATGTCATAGTTGGGTAATGGATACTTGATAAGAATGATTTTTAAATATATTTTTGTCTTAGAGATGTAGATGAATATAGTTAAATTATGTAAGATTAGAGAGAGAAAAAAAGTTCCAATTAACTAGTGTGGCTGTGAGGTTTTATTTTTTGTTATCTTTATCAACAGCACTTAGAAAATATTTTCTTCCTGTGAATGTTGTATTTGTGAGTCTGTAATACTTTATTATTGTCCTTTGCTTCTGCAGTAACTTGTAAAATCCTGTCTTGCAAATAGATTTTCAGTTAGGAACATATTTAATTCTTGGGAATACAGGCTGCCTGTATATAAAAGAATTAGTGTTTTGTTTTCTGGTATTTCTGATTGTGACAGTGGCTTTATCCGAATGTATATATTTATAGATCTTTTTAAGTGCAGAATTTAATGGCACTATGTTTAATTTGCACATACAAGTGATAGTCATTTATTCAGTCTAACCCCTTGTCTTCAGGTGTAATAAGAAATAGACCCCATATGGGTATTTTTTCATACTTAGTTGCCATTCTTTTGTTTTTCATTGTGTTGGGAATTGTCACTAACCACCATTTAATAGAGAGACAGGTTCTACTTAGTCCATTTTGGTTAGTTGTTCCACTCAAAAAAAGGTATATTTTGTTGACATTTTATAGATGAGAATACTGAAGTTAGTAGCTCCCCTTTTATATTTTTTACAATATTAATTTTTATAAACGGTTTCCAGATGGAGTCTTTATCTTTTAGCTATTGTTCTGCTTTCTATAATGAATTTCTTTCTTGCAGGATGTGCTTCAAACAAAGATTGACTATCAAGTAACATTGTATATAGTTGCAGTTTTAGAATATATATCTGCAGACATATTAAAGGTAAGTTCAAATGGGGAAATGCATATTTTGGTTTGAAGACTAAATAAAAAGGCATATATATATATCAAACATGCAAATCAATATTGACTTGTTTAGAATATAGGATTTAATACAAGTTTGATTTTTCAGCTTGCTGGCAACTATGTTAAGAACATTAGACACTTTGAGGTAACGCAACAGGACATTAGAGTAGCCATGTGTGCAGACAAGGTAAGTCTTATGTATCAGTTTTGCTCTTTGTATAGGAATTGATTTTCATGAGAGAGGTGTACTTATAAAGCATGCAATGTAGTTTGCATTCATATTCAAAATATGTTTGGAACAGATGTACAAGGACAGGAGGGCAAATTTACATGATCAAAATTATAAATAAGACCATAACAAAAACTTATTGGAAGTGTTATTTTTTAAACAAAGTAAAAAAAACATATAGTGAAACTGTGTCTTACCAGTGATGATGCTGTAGAAAACATAGATTTTAAAACATGATCATGGTGGGTTATTTATTCTTAAAGGAAATCATTTATGGCCACTCACAGAGTAAGGGTTTTGCAGTCACTTCTTGGAAGGGCTAGACTTAGGATCATATTACTATTTATTTGATAAACAAAATTTTAGAGAATTGAAACTTTTGGTAGTTAAAAAGTAAAGGAATTTGTTTTACACTTTAGTATATGTGAATATTATAATGAAAGTATTAGAATAAAGAAGAAACAACAAGCAATAATATTTTTTACATATTTACTATCAAAATAAGATGTTACATAGGGAGAGGAATATAGGTATTTTCTTTGTTTTTTTTTCTATCAAAGCTGTCTTGAAATAGTATTCTTTATAATCTTCAACTTTTCTTTATTAAGAAAAAAAGAAAGAAAACATTATCTGTGTAATTAAGTGTGTGCTGAAATTTTTTTTGGCTAGCAGTGGCCCACTATGTGGTAGGGCAGATTACCCCATGGTACATTAGGGACCCACTTTGTGGAGTGCATGTTAACAAATTAAATCAAACCTTTCAAGAGTTTTGGCATAGGTAAGCGAAAATTGATAGAAACACCAACTGTTTTCTGAAATTTCTTCCAAAATGGTTTGTTGCATGAGTTATATATCAAAAGGATGTGTAATCAGCCTAAAGAACACATGAGAAATACAGATGCTTGTTCATGATCATTGAGGCTAATGAAGATCCATGTTGGCAAATGAAAGAATAACTTTTAAGAAAATCCTAACATATATAAGAATAGGAAATAGTATGGACTAACTCTGTAATTAGGGTCGAATTCCCATGAGGAGTGACGAGAGACTGTGCCTCCCCTTGGCAAAGTTATTTTCTGTAAACTTTTTTAGCTTTTTTGCCAATTTCCAAGGTCCATATGTATCTTTTGATTTGCTTATTCCCCTGCACATCCTCCATGTTATCTCTATGTGGTAAATGAATCAGTGCAAAAAAAAAAAAAAAGGAACATTTGCTTTTTTGTGTCATATGTCTTATTTTTTCGCAATTTTCAATTTTCTGTAATACAACCTGCAGGGCCGGGCACAGTGGTCAGGAATATTATGCTCAGCATGGAAATGGCATCCTCATGGGAGCTGAAGCTCATCCAGTCATGGCTTATGCACATTACACTCCACATTTGTGTATTGATGGGAATAATACTAAACCCACTAATGACGGGTGTCCCACATATGAGACACCCAAAAAATAAACATTGCTGGGCGTCCTGCCAGTGTGACGCTGTATCAGGGCTTCTGCTCTGACACGGCAGCGGGCCGCTGCCAGACTCTGCCCGGAATCTTTTATTTTCGGCTTCAAAATATACCAGCGTTAATGGGTGAAATAAACATTACTGGGCTTTCCACTGGTGTGACACTAGATTGGAGCTTGCGCTCTGATTTTATTGCCCATGGTGGGCAGCGCGTAGTCAGGTTCCCGTAGAAAGCCGCCCGGAAACCATTATTTTCAGCTTGAAAATGTACCGGCACTAGTGGGCTAAAATATGTACAGAGGAATGGATATGGAATTCTAGGTTGTGTTACTTACCAGAGTAACTTGAAAAGGATCAAAGAGGAAGCAGTAGTTATAATTGATCTAAAAATTGCTATTTGTTGAACGTTTCAATGGCAGGCACTACAGTGCAATGTATATTCAATAGATGATTCACTTGTTATTGATATAATCATTATAATCATGTGAATTAAGTATCAACCTTGTCAGAATAACCAATATGACTGTTGAGGTTATAAAACCAAAATGAATTTTATCTCTTTATTGTTGAGGAACCAAGTACAAGTATAGTCAGGTCAACAATTGACTGGAGAATGATGACTCCAGCTCTGGTCTGGCTGCTTAAGAACCTGACCGGCGATGTAAGCTTGGCCAGTATGGGCAGTCCCGAAGCAGGAGTCGGCCAATCACAGGTCAGGTGCGGTTTTGGATTGATGGCCAGTCAGGAACCGCTACATAACAGCTGAAACGTTAAAAGAGATAACAGGATTTACCTTCTGAGCACCATCTTTGCGCAGGGGAGCATGTTTTCATATCTTCACCCACCGTTACGATTACCAGCTTGTATAGGCAGAGCCCCATGCATATTCGTATAGTTTCTCCTTCCCTCTTACCAAGCCTCCTAATACATTACTCTCCTATCAGGTGCTGATGGACATGTTTCAACAAGATGAAGATGGGGAGATGAGTGCAGTCGTGGAGGATCCTAACCTAGACACTTCTCTAACTTATGACGAACTTGTCAAAGATCTAATACAAGAGGAGAAAGCTTATATTAGAGAACTCAATATGATAATTAAGGTATATTGGGTATATGTTTGTCGTAAAAAAAGGTAGATTTTTTCTGATGTGTGAATGAAATAGTTATAAAACTCATGTATGTGGACAGGAGATTAGTTTGTTGATCAACTTTATTTATATTTTATTAAAGCTTTATCAATACTTTTAATGCCTCTTTTATAAAAGATAATGTATGAATATTTGTATTTTGAAATGAAACCATTTTATTTTGAATTATTCAAGTATTTCATATTTTTAAAAGAGCAATAAAATAACTTTTCACTTATTTGTTTATTTATTATTACTATTGTATTAGATATATTACAACTAAGGTTTTGGAATTATGAACTCTACTTAAATATTCCTCTTTTTCTAGGTGTTTTGTGACCAGCTTCAGCAGATCCCTGTTTTACAAGGGAGTGGCAGTAGAGAGCTGGAAATTATCTTCTCAAATATCACTGAGATCTATGACTTCTCTGTTAACTTACTGGGGTCTTTAGAGGACACCCTAGAGGTCACGGAGGAGAACGAGTCTCCCTTCATAGGCAGCTGTTTTGAGGAATTGGCAGAGGTAAGGAGTGTTGTTTTTGGGGAGATTATAGACGGGTTTATGAATAGGGTTAAGTAAGGGATATCTCAAAATTGTTCCTCTTTTAGAACACAACATAAATGTCTTTTCAGATATTACTATCATCTTTTTTTTTTTTTCATTACGCACAGGGTGCAGAGTTTGATGTATACGGAAAATATGCCAGCGATGTGTTAAGGCAAGAGTGTGCTGATCAACTAATGGATGTGGTTAACCAGCCACCTGTTAGCGATGCACTAACAAGTGCTGGACAGGGCTTCAAGGAAGCTGTCAAGTACTACCTGCCGAAGCTGCTTCTTGTACCTGTTTGTCATGTCTTCACTTATTTTAAATATATAGAGGTTAGTGGGTTTTTGATGAGTATATCTGAGGATTGTGCTACTCTTTATGTAGGTTATTTCAAAAGTCTGATCTAGTATTATGATAATGTCAGTGGTCAGTTCTTTGTACTGAAGTTGTGGCTTTGTAAGGAAGAAGCTGTATAAGAATATACTGTATAAGAATATAGAAGAATATTTAAATGTATATAAGAATATATATTCTTTTTATGAAATAATCTAGCTACATATATAGCTTGTTTTTTAGATCCTATAAGAATGTTCTGCTATGTTCTTCAGTAAGTCTTTTTTCTCCATATTCAGCTCAGGTTTTCAAACTGGATGTATGTTTTCTTTTTCTCAGTCTTTGACCTTACTTTACAACCCCTTAATCCAGTGCCCCTGGGAAAATGTTGCATTCACTTTAGTATTGTTTTGTGGAATGTCTGCACATAGATGGCTATGCCAGTGCTTAGCCACAAAGAAGTCAGTTAGTGGATCTTGTAACCTCACCTTGGATTTAGCAAGATTTTTTTTTTTTTTTTTTCCCAAATGTTATTGATATTGATACTGTTATTTTTATTTACAAACATTATAATTACTATATTGTAATTGACATTACTAACTGCAGTATTAAATACTAGAAAATATTAAAAAATCAAGGAAATGGGTTAACCGGTGAGACAGGTACTTCTTGTAATTGGCTCATTGGTGACCTAGTACTTGTGGAGCCATCTATATGTAAAAACAATTACTAAATTAAACACACAGTTGGCATGGCATATACGCACATGCTAACCCCAATGGCATGTGGTTAGAATGTGATTGAAAATACTTCTTGATTGAATTAATAATTCAAATATATTTTTCAGATGTTTCTGAGTATGACTGAGTCAGAAGAAGCTCGAGAGAGCTTAGAACAAGTCAAAGGTCTCTTATGGCCTCTCCAAAGTCAGTTAGAACGCACCATACAGAACTCTCCATATGCTCCCTACCTTAAGAGAAAATTAGGGTATGTTCAGTTCTCTGTTGTGTCCTTTTATTGCTATCTGGTATTGAACAGTCTAATAGAATATTTAACATGAGATCTTTGGGAAGTTGTTAATTAATATGGATTTTATCTGCAGAGAAATCACTTTACGGCATGGAAGGCAGAGTAGACAACAAACCTTATCTAAAATGAAAGAATTACAACGATCAATAGATGGCTGGGAAGGAAAAGTCATCACACAGTGTTGCAACGAGTTTGTTTTAGGTATGTATACCAGTGAACAACACTTTCATAAAAAAAACGAAAAATAAAAGATAAGTGTAGTGTACTGATTATCTAGTGCGTATATAGTTTATATAATAAGGATGAATCCCCAAAATATTTTATTTATGAAAATACTGTCCCAGTATTTGAGTAGTTAAACCTGATTTGTTAAGTAAAAGATAGCCCTATGTCAAAGCAAGAGAAAGAATGCATCACATGTAATATTTATCATAGTTTAGTCCTGGTTATGTCAGTTGTAACCATACAGTACTATTTGGCAATGACTAAATTCAAGAAATGGTATAACTTTATTTAGTATACTTGAAGAAAGCTTCATGTAATATCCATTACTGAAATATAACTATTGGTGAGTGCAGATATTTATTTTTATATATATTTTGATAAATAGTATGCAAATGTTTTGAAAGCACAAAATTGTGAAATGTTTAGATAAAAAAAGGAATGCAAAGTTAGGATGATTTTGATGATTAGCTTCATTCACTTTAAAAATCGGCAGAAGTAAGAAGCTGTTATGATAAAGGGAATAAATGTGTCCATAAAATGAGGTTCCTGCCATGTTGCAAGAAAAGAAACAATATAAAATAAAGGCAGGTACTATGACTCTTTTCAAATACTTCTAATTATACTATTACCACCTTTTTTTCCCAAACCCTTTAGAAGGTGACCTGCTAAAACTTGGTGCCACTGGGAAGAAGCCGACGGAGCGGCATGTGTTCCTGTTTGATGGCCTCATAGTCCTCTGCAAGAGCAATAACCGGCGGTCCTCGGTCACAGGACAGGTAAGGAAAGGGAGTGAGGAGTGGACAGCATTAGTGTTGATATACCCCGTCTTTGTAGGTGAACAGAGAAACAGGAAAAGATTTAGGTTTAGGTGAAGGGAAATGGTGTTTATGCATCTTATGTTTTTTTCTATTTCATTTCATGTTTAATGTGTAGTTAATGTATGGGAAAAATGAAATCTTTCAGAAATCAAATGGTATAGCAAAAAGGTATAGGGTAAGGGAAAAAAAGTTTAGGTCACAGGGCATTATGTTAGAATGTTGATATCTATAGAATGGGTAACCTACTCTGCCTGTTGTTTTTAGGGGAAGATTTTTCAATTGTTTCTCTCATTGTTGTTTTATTATTGTTATTATTTTTTCATGGGTGGAATGCAGTTTTAATAAGAGAAATTAGAGAGAGAGAAAGAAAATAAGAAAAAAAGATAAGATAGAGATGTTAGATAGATATACAAATGTAATGAGGTTGTACAAATAAGTGTTTGAGAACATGTGGAATATATGGTTAGAGAAAAATATTTCAGTCCATAAGAGTCTAAACCAGGATAGTAGACTTTTCATACCTAAGAACTGTAAACTGCCTAGATTGTCAACCACACTAGTGAGAAAACTGGTAGGATTTTTAAAAGTTTCACAAAAGCAAATGTTAGTTGCAGATAATGGAAGAACTCAATTTTATATACCAATTTATATTTCACTTTTATAGTACATAGTGTCAGTATAGGACAGAGTTCAGGGTATTATCACAGACACTGTTTATGCATACGTGAAAAAGGGGAGAGATTAACCCCTTTGATCTGGGTGACTAGACCATCACGTTATGAAAGAATTTATGTTGAGGGCTGGATGACATCAACATGCTGCCATGGGATAAAATGGCTGCAGACCAGGTGACACAAACTTGCAGTCATGAACGAAGGCCAGGGTGACAGTAAAGACATTAGAAAATGGCAAAAAAGCTAAAAAAAAAAAAAATATATAATATATATATATATATATATATATATATATAAAATAACTTGGCTAAAGAAAAGCATATGGCTTGTCGCTGCACATGAGTGTTCGCAAGCACCCAGCCTACACTTTGCAAGCCTAGCAGAGCAGCAGCCTCTTATGTGCCCATATTTTTGGCCATGTGATTGCCTATGTAATATAAAATGTATACTTAAATGTGTTTATGAGTATCTAGACTTAAAAAAAAAAAAAAAAAAAAAAAAAAAAAAGATAATGATATCTATAGGTAATTCTGGGACGAGGAAAAGATCCAATGTTTGGCTTGTAAGAAAAAGGCCATAAACCACCAACAAATGAGTGATATATAAGCAAATATAACTTTAGAGTAGTGGTTCCCAATGTTACCCTAACCCACATAGTCCTTTCTTTGGCACCCTTTTCTTTACCCCCCTTCCACCTCACACAACTTATCTCCACAGCAAAGTGCATCTTTGCCTATTCCATGAATTACGTGAGCTTGAAACATAAAAAAGGTCTGACATTTCATATTTGAAATTTATTTTACCAAGGAATCTTGTAGTATCCCTAGGTATTACCTACAGCACCCCAAGGTGGTGTGGGTAATACAAGTTTGTGAAGCTTTACTATGAAGTTTGATAAAGAATACCGATATTGATTGATAATGTAAAATATTAATGCTGATAGGTAAAATAGATCATTATTAGAAATTAATGAAATTAACTAATTTCTTTTCTCTTTTAAGAAATTACTTTAGAAATCTTCAGTATTCTTTTTCAGGAACTGTGACATAAAAGAATTGTTAGCAATGACCTAAAATACTGTAGACTAATAAAAATGTTTATTTTTCAGGTTGGAGAGTACAGATTTAAGGAGAAATTTCTTATGAGAATGGTAGAAATTTTAGACAGAGAAGATACTGAAGGTAAGAGGATTGTATTTACCTTACACTTTTTGTTTGGCATGTAGCACTAGTTGAGATATCAGGTTAGAGAATATGATGTAAAGATAAGTCATGAAACCAGATGATAATGTAGGAACCGAAATTCTTTTTCACCTGGTTTATACTTTCATTTTGTAAAACCCCGCCAGAGATCAAATACTCCTTTGAGATCCGGCCACGTGACCAGCCCAGTGTGGTGCTACTTGCAAAGTCTATGGAAGAGAAGAACAATTGGATGGCTGCCCTTGTTATGCTCAACACTCGGAGGTGAGTGTCAATTTTGAAGATGTAGATCATGTCCTATGAAATTTTCAGTTACTATTTTGACTTCATTAAAACCTTTTTTTTTTTTTTTTTTTTTTTTTTTTTTTCAGTATGATAATTCCTGCGCACAAAAAAAAAAGAAAAAATGTATGTAGAATGTGATACATGTAACATGTGATCTGTGATTTTTCTCCTTTCAGTATGTTAGAACGAACTCTAGACAGTATATTATTAGATGAGGAGAAACAGCATCCCCTCAAGTTGCCTGACCCAAGTGTCTACCAGTTTGCCATTGAGGACTCCGAGTCAAACATTATCATCGAAGAGAAGGAAAACTCAGGAACTCCTCTTATAAAGGTGACCATCGACACTTAGTTGTGAATTGTGTGTGATTTGTTAAGCATTCATGTTAGTTTTTAATCTTATAGTTTTTATGTCTTTATTCTTGAACCTGTTGTGGATTCCTTTTTTGTTTATCTGAACAGAATAAACTTGCAGTTTTCGAATCTAGCAAAAAAGTATTAATGAGCGTTTCTGTATTATATATGGTTTCAGTATAAAAGATGAGTATAGTAATGTCATTATTTATATGATAAATGGGACTAAATAATGTTTTAGTAATGGGAAGGAAATAATCAACCTATTTATTCCAGGGAGCAACGCTGCCAAAGCTGGTTGAAAGATTAACATACCACATGTATGCAGATCCAATGTTTGTGAGAACGTTTCTCACTACTTACCGAAGCTTTTGTACTCCAACAGTGAGTAACAAGTTGTTTAGTTTTGAGATAGAACTAATGGATATCCCCTTTATTGTTTGAGAAATTTCCTTGTAAGTCATCTTATGCTATAAAATTCTTTAAAAATGTAGATGTGGTAAATAGTAATTCATTCTGTAGCAGTCAAAAAATGAAATAGTTGGTAAATGTAGATGTACAAAGATTCAACATATTCCCCATGAAAAGACTTGCACTCTTATTTTGTTTCTATCCATCCTTTTTACATCGTACTTCGTTGCTGTCCCTTTTTAGGAATTGCTAGACCTATTAATTCAACGCTTTGACATCCCTGAGCCTGAGCTCCCACCTATAAGTGAAGAGGAGACACAAGAAGTCAAAAACCAGCAACTTTCCATACACAGAGAAATACTTAAACGCTTCAGAAAGGAGTATTCGCAACCTGTTCAATTCAGGTAAATATTTGTTAGTTACTAAGTGACAGATTTTGTATTGCTATCCAATATTAAGAGCTTTAGTACATTGTGTATGTAGCTTTCGTCTTTTGATGTATTAGATGTGAAGAATATCTCTTGCTTCTCATAAGAGCTTTTTTTAATGGGATTAACCAAATTTGTAATATTTTCAGTGGTCTGATGTGATACTACTAAACTGATCTCTGTTTTTCCACAGAGTTTTAAATGTTTTGCGTCATTGGGTAGATTATCACTTTTATGATTTCGAACGGGACAAAGCACTTCTAGAAAAACTTACCAGCTTTCTGGAGAAAGTAAAAGGCAAATCCATGAGAAAATGGGTAGAATCCATCACAAAGATCATTCAAAGAAGGGTAAGTTAATAAACTATTTGGCTGAATGTTTTTGAATGCACAGTGAATTTTTTTTTCAAGTGGCCAAAGTAAGGCAATATACTTTCAAATGCACAACTTTTGTTTGGTATTGTAAGTGATACAGGATAACCCTTTCAAGTTTTCTCAAAATAATTGTCCTTGACAGTGCAATGAAGAGCAGAGAGAAATTACATTTAGTTTACATCGCTCACCCCCGTCTCCCAAGTGGCACATAAAACTAGAGGACAAAGATTGGGATCTTATACTTCCCATCAGTTCAGGTGGAACATCGCCTACGGTAAGTGGACACGAAGTTGCATTTGAGGGGGTTGTGTCTTTTTTTCTCGCTCTCACCATGCTTGCTCTTATTGCTGATTGGTTTTACAGGTATTCAGTCTGATACTAAGGAGGCGCTGTAATTGCCAGAAAATTTCACGTTATTGTCAAAGATCAGCAGAGAACAGAGTACAAAGACCAATAGATATGGTTTTCATACCAATTTCAGCTTTGTGTAGGAATGGAAGACTATTGGCATTCTGGTAACATAAATTGCAAAATAATCTAGAATTCTTCATGATAGATGATGTGCATTTTGCTAACTTTGCACTATAAGAAATATTTACTACTTTTGGACAATTTTAGTGTGTAGAAAATTAATAGATGGTGATATTTTTGACTAAGGATGTTTGATACAAAAACATGTTTTCAGGCAGATGTGTTGGGTCAGTTTACAAGTTTAACTTAGCTTTTGACTTTTAAGGTTAAGGTATCAGCAGTAACTGACACTGTAACCAAATTTCTCTACCAAAGTTACTGCAGTTTTTGTATGGATTAAAATTGGGGAGATATTACACCCCACAAAAATATATTTTTATCATATAAAACAATGAAATGATAGTTAAAAATATGTATATGTAGGGAAAGTAAAAAGATGATATATATCCATCCATACATACATACATATATACATACATATGGTTATATATAGATACACACTTATGATACTTATTTCACAGACCCTGATATTTGCATATATAGATAATCAAAATGATTTTTGGTTTTGCAAACCATATTTTCTCCCACTCAGTATGATACCCTTAACAGAAGCAATAGGTCAGCAGTATTAAAATTGTAGGGTCACTATGAATTGCATATAGAATTTTAGGTAGCCATTCATTTGGTAGCACTGCAGTTTTTATAATTTGTATTCCATCATTTTCCAGCCTGACCTGGTAAAGCCATTGCTGATGCTGCACCCTATTGAAATAGCTCGTCAGCTGACATTGTTAGAGTTTAAACTGTACAGAGCTGTGAAGCCTTCAGAACTGGTAGGGACACCATGGACCAAAGAAGACAAAGAGAAACGCTCACCAAACTTGCTCAAAATGATCCACCATCACACCAATGTAAGTACAGAATGTACCAAGGTATAAGGGTAATCAGCTTTGATTTGTATCTTTATTTTTGTTAAAAAAAAGCAGATTACTTTACAGTGCATTTTTATTACTCATGCACAAAGCACCAGTTAGTTGGAAAGAAATGAAATGCAGTGATAAGTAAATGTTTCTTAAATTTCCTGTCATTAATCCTTTTTTGAACCCCCCAGGTAACACACTGGTTCATGCGGTGCATAGTGGACTGTGACAATTTTGAGGAGCGTGTGGCTGTGATGATGAGGGTAGTGGAGATCATGGTTATGTTTCATGATCTCAACAATTTTAATGGGGTATTTGAAGTGTCCAGTGCGTTAGCGTCTGCTGCTGTACACAGGCTAGAGCTTACCAAAACGGTGAGATAATTTTGTTTCTTGCATGTTATTTTGTTAATAATTTGCTTTATGACAGTGTTTATGATGGACTTGTAAATTAAAAGTTTTTATGGTGAGGAAATGCAGTTTTGCTGTATTTTTGCTGCACAAAAGAAGTGGAAATATCAGATTAACACTAATGGTATTTTATTCTTCCTGATGAATAGGAGGTTAAGAAACGTCTTCCACAAGGGCAGGTGAAAGTGTTTGAAGAAGCTTCTGAACTTAGCCAAAACCATTGTAAAAAATACCAGGAAAAACTTCGATCCATTAATCCACCATGTGTCCCATTTTTTGGTAAGGATTCTGTTTGTACTCTTGAAAAGGAATATAGTTTCTGTATTCTTGAATGATGTCAACATTGAGGAAGGAATTTCAGTGCCTTTTACTTTTAATTTTGATTTATTGAAAGTAGATTTCTGATAAAGTATTAATTTATCGTCTTCTGTTTCCCAAAGGAATGTACCTGACCAACATCTTGCATATTGAAGAAGGCAACCCAGACTTCCTTGTCCGGGCAGCAGAGGGTCTAATCAATTTTTCAAAGAGACGAAAAGTTGCAGAAATCACAGGAGAAATTCAGCAGTACCAGAACCAACCTTACTGTTTGCTGGAAGAACCACGCATCAAAGTGAGTGTTCATTTATTTTCTCAGCTTTTGTTTTATGTGAATTGTTTGAATGAGAGGAAAGTCAAGTATGGAACTCTGAAAGGAGACAGTGATTTCACCTATGCTCCCACAAGAGTGAGTCATGGTGTCTCATTGGAAATATTTTACAGCAAGTGGAATATTCTTTGGTGAAATTTTCAACATGCATATCAGACATCCTTGTATAATTCACCATGTATGTGGGGGCAGATTTTTCTAATGATGTAGGATCTAATCTTAGCCAGAATGGATCTATATTTTGATACTACTGTAGGTCTCTTTGGCGTGTTTTCATTTTAAAAAATCAACCTTTTTAAGTGTATGATAATGATGACTGAATTGATTTGTGATGATAGCTTGATGCAAGAATTTAATAATATAGAGAAAGCATTATATTAGTGCGAGAAGAAGAATAATTTATTACAGAAGTCCGCATCTGTCACATGGTCTCAGGGTGTGGTTTTGTGAGACCTTTTATAGTAACAGAATTGATGAAAGTAATGATACATGATAGATGATAACACATTTCCACAAGCATTGCAAACTCACATATCCATCTTCCAAACTGCAGAATAAATGATGATTATGTTGGGAGTAGGACTGAAAATAGAGATATCAGTAATATGTGTTGTTTACGTGATTGCTAGGTTAGTGTGATTGTGCAGCTGCGTTTGAGTGCCCATGGTGCAAATAAATGACAGAAAATGATGATTGTCTATTGTATTTTTATTTCTTTTGTCCTCGTTTTATCATGGATCTGTCTTATTCTCCATTCCTTTTATCTCTCTTTTCCATGTGCTCTTAGTTCATTCGTTATCTCTCTCTCTCTCTCTCTCTCTCTCTCTCTCTCTCTCTCTCTCTCTCTCTCTCTCTCTCTCTCTCTCTCTCTCTCTCTCTCTCTCTCTCTCTCTCTCTCTCTCTCTTTCTCTCTTTCTCTCTCTCTCTCTCTCTCTCTCTCTCTCTTCTCTCTTCTCTCTTTCTCTTCTCTCTCCCTTCTCTCTCCCCTCTCCTCCCTCTCTCTCCCTCCCTCCTCTCCTCTCTCCTCCTCCCTCCCTCTCCTCCCTCTCCTCTCTCTACCTCCCTCTCCCTCTCCCTCTCTCTACCTCCCCTTCCCTCTCTCTCCCCTTCCTTTCCCTCCCCCCCTCTCTCCTCTCTCTCTCTCTCTCTCTCTCTCTCTCTCTCTCTCTCTCTCTCTCTCTCTCTCTCTCTCTCTCTCTCTCTCTCTCTCTCTCTCTCTCTCTCTCTCTCTCTCCTCCCTCCCTCCCTCCCTCCCTCCTCCCTCCCCTCCTCCTCTCCTCCTCCTCCTCCTCCTCCTCCTCCTCCTCTTCCCTCTCTCCTCCTCCTCCTCCTCCTCCTCCTCTCTCTCTCTCTCTTCTCCTCTCTCTCTCTCGTTCTCTCTCTCTCCTCTCTCTCTCTCTCTTCTCTCTCTCTCTCTCTCTCTCTCTCTCCTCCTCCTCCCCTCCTCCTCCTCCTCTCCTCCTCCTTCCTCCTCCCCCCCCCCCCTCCTCCTCTCTCTTCTCCTCTCCTCTCTCTCTCTCTCTCTCTCTCTCTCTCTCTCTCTCTCCTCTCTCTCTCTCTCTCTCTCTCTCTCTCTCTCCTCTCTCTCTCCCCTCCCTCCCCTCCTCCCTCCCTCCTCTTCCTCCTCTCCCACTCTCCTCTTCCTCTCGTCTCTTTCCCTCTCTCTCTTCTTCTCTCTCTCTCTCTCTCTCCTCTTCTCTCCTCTCTCTCTCTCCTCTCTCTCTCTCTCCTCTCCTCTCTTCTCTCTCTCTCTCTCTCTCTTCTCTCTCCTCCTCTCTTCTCTCCTCTCCTCCTTCTCCTCCTCCCTCTCCTCTCCCCTCTTCCCCTCTCTCCTCCTCTCTCTCTCTCTCTCTCCTCTCTCCTCTCTCTCTCTCTCTCTCCCTCTCGCCTCTCTCTCCTCTCCTCTCTCCCCTCTCCCTCCCTCTTTCCCTCTTTCTTTCCCCTCCTCCCTGCCTTTCTCCCCTCTCCCGCCTCCTCATCCTCCTCACTCTCCGTCCACCCCCTCTCTCTCCCCTCTCTCCCTCCTTCCTCTAATCCCTCCTCTCCTCTCCCCTCTCCCTTCCTTCCCTCACCTCTCTCCCTCCCTCTCTCTCCCTCCCGTCTCCCTCTCCTCCCTCTTTCTCTTTCTCTTTCCCTCTTTCCTTCTCTTTCTCTTCTCTCTCTCTCTCTCTCCCTCCTCTCCTCTCTCCCTCCTTTTCTCTCATCTCTCTCTCTCTCTCTCCCTCACTCCTCTTCTCTCTCTCTCTCTCTCTCTCCTCGTCCCTCTCTCCTTTTTCTCCTCTCCATCTCTCTCCTCTTCTCTACTCTCCTCATCTTCTCTCTCTTCTCCTCTCTCCCTCTCTCGTCTCTCTCTCTCTCGTCTCTCTCTTCTCTCCCTCGCTCCTCTCTCTCTCTTCTCTCTCTCTCTCTCTCTCTCTCTCTCCCCCCCCGTTTCTCTCCCTCACCCTCTATTTCTATCTTCATCTCCATCTCTTTCTTTGTTTCTTTTTCTTTCTTTTCTTTCTTTTACTCTATCCCTCACTTCTCTCGTTTCTCTCTCGTAAACCCTACCCTCTTCCCACCCCTCTTTTTATTCTCTTCTTTTCTCTCATTTCTTTCCTTTCCTCTCCTTTCTTTCCTTTCCTTTCTTTTCCTCCTACCCACAGCTTGCCGTTCCCAGTTGTCGCTGCTTCTCCACGGTCTTTTCCTCTGTTTCTCCCTCCCTGTTCTTCCTCCCTGTTCTCCCTCCCTTCACTAACACCCTGTGTCTCTCACCCTGGCCCTGTTCTTGGTCCTGTCCTGGCTCTGTCCCTATCTTCATTTCTTCTCTTCTCTTCCCTCTTCTTCGTTCTTTCTTCTCTCCTCTCTCTTCTCCTTCTCCTCCTTCTCGTTCCTCTCTTCTGTTCTTTCTTCTCTCCTCTCTCTTCTCTCTCTCTCCTCACTCCTTTCCCCTCTCCGCTTTCCTCTCTATCCTTTCCTCTGCCCCCTCTCCTCTCTCTCCCCTTTCGCCCCCGCCAGTTCAGTTCAGTGCGTGCGTGTGTGCGTGCCGTGCGTGCGGTGTGTGTGCTGACGTGGGTGGGCCGAGTGTGACGTCCAGTATGGATCGCTCGCACCGGTAACGCACATATGTGAGGGTCTGGAGAAGGGATGGAGGGTGGGGGGGGAGAGGGGTCGAGGGAGGGAGGGAGAAAGAAGAAAGCAGGGAGAAGGAGGGAGATTGATAAAGATGAAGGAAGGCGGAAAGGTTATCGGTAGAAAGAGAGAGATTGGAAGAGTGGAGGGAACGCTCGGTAATGTGGCGATGAGTAGATGGGGGTATGAAAAGCATTTTTTTTTTTTTTTTTTTTTGTCATTTTCACTCGTGTCTTTCCCTCCCCCCAACCCCATCCTTCCCCCTTCCCCTTCCCCCTTTCCACCTATTTTTTTAATCCATTTTACTCGTGCCTTTCCCCCCCTCCCCTTCCCTTTCCTATTTTTTTTTTTATCATTTTCACTCGTGTCTTTCCCTCCCCCCAACCCCCATCTTCCTCCCTTCCCCTATTTTTTTTTAATCATTTCAACCCTATTTTTTTTAATAATTTTCACTCGTGTCCTTCCCCCTTCCCCCAACCCTCCCCCTTCCCCCTTCCCCCTATTTTTTTATCATTTTCACTCGTGTCTTTTCCCCCCCCCCCCCACCCCCCCTTCCCCCCCTTCCCCCTATTTTTTTTTAAATAATTTTCACTCGTGTCTTTCCCCCTCCTTTCCCACCCCTCCCCCTTCCCCCCCTTCCCCCACCCCGGTTCTACTTCTACATGATCACGATTTTTTTGGGCCGTTTGTCTTGTCTTTGTCTTTGGATGCTGCTCATCATGCATCATCAGGCTGTCTCCAGGTATGGGTCTTCCGAGAATCACATCGATATCAAAAGTGTTTTTTTTTTTTTTTTCTTCTTCTTCTTCTTCTTTTCTTTTCATCTTCTTCCTTTTTTTTTTTTTTTTTTTTTTTTTTTTTTTTTTTTTTGTCTCACTATGTTCACTCTGTCACTAACGGGTTCACTCATCTGGTCACTCATCCGCTCACTCACACTCGTTCACTCACTGACACACTCGTTCTTACGTAATCACACTTAACCACTCTTTCTTTTTTTTTCTTTCTTTTCTCTCTTTTTTTTTCTTTCTTCTCTCTCACTCTCTCTTCTCTCTCTCACTCTCACTCTACTCTCTCTCTCTCACTCTCACTCTCTCTCTCTCTCTCTCTCTCTCTCTCTCTTCTCTCTCTCTCTCTCTCTCTCTCTCTCTCTCTCTCTCTCTCTCTCTCTCTCTCTCTCTCTCTCTCTCTCTCCCTCTCCCTCTCCCTCTCCCTCTCCCTCTCCCTTCTCTCCTCTCCCTCTCCTCTCTCTCTCTCCCTCCTCTCTCTCTCCTCGCTCCCTCTCCATCATCTTTCTCTCCCCCGTATTATTTCTTCCCTTTCTCCTGACTCATTCCACGCTTCTTTCTCCTGCTTCCCTCCTCCGCTTCTCTCTCTCGCCGTCTCCAGTTTCGCCTCTTTCCCTGTTCCCATGGCCTCTTATCGTCTCTTCCTCATGCTCTCCATTCCTATTCTCTCCTTTCCTTTTTCTCTCTTTCCTTTCTTTCTTTTTCTCTCTTCCCTTCCTTTTTCTTTTCCTTCCCTTTTCTCTCCTCCATTCCTCTGTCTCTTCTCCCTTACTCTTTCTCTCCTCCCTTACTCTTTCTCTCCTCCCTTACTCTTTCTCTCCTCCTTTCCTTTTTCTCCTCCCATGGCTCCCTATATTCACTTTCTCCTGTCTCCTCTCTCGTCGTTTTCCTTTCGCTTCCCTTCTCTCTTCTCATCCATCTCTTTTTTATTTGAGTGGAGAATTGAGGAAATGGCCAAACGAAGGAAGAAAAGGGAAATGAAAGGAAAGAAATGAAAGTAAAGCATAAAACATGGTGGGGGGGGCGAGGGAATGTAAGGGTAAGGGGAAAGGGGAAACAGATGCGGATAGGAAAGAGGGAAAGGGAAAGAAAAGGGAATGGGGAAGGGGGATGGAAAGTGTATAGGGAGAAAGAAGAGAATTTAAAGAGAAAGATAAGGGGAAAGAGAATGGGAAAGGGATACGGATATGGATAGGAAAAAGGGAAAGGGAAAGAGATGGGGATAGGAAAGGGAAAATGTATAGGTAGAAAGAAAGGGAAATGTAAAATGAAAGAGAAAGGAAAAGGGAACGGAAAGGGAGACGAACGGAAACGAAGGGAAAGGAAAGAAAAGGACAGCCAAGGGGAGGGTAAGAGGGAAGGAAACTCGGTCCTAGGTCAGAGTGAATGGAGGGGATAGGTCATAGAGAGAGGAGAAGGGACAGGAGAAGGAGAGAAAGACGGAGGAGGAAAAGAGAGAAGTGAGAAAGCCGGATAAGAAGTGTTAGATCGCGTGGTAGAAGTACCCAATTGCGAGAATAAAGGAGAGTGCGAATGTAAAGGTGGATAGTCACT